GTGGGCAAAGGCCGAATCAGGCTGATTGTGGCCCCCAGATGACGTTGGACTTCAGCACTACCAGCAGGTTCACGTGGTTTCTAGTGAGCTGTCTAGACAAGCAGGCCTAATGAACAGATCTCAGTGAAACTGTGTGAACACCTGTGTTGCCCTTGGGATGATTTTAATCATGATGGTGATGATGTGATATTTCTGACTTGTCAACAACTACCATTAAGTCAAATTTTCATTCTCCCCAAAATGTGCTTCATGATGAAATACCTACCAACCCAGTGACATTCCCATCTTCCTCAGCTGTAATCTCTATTTAGTGCTAAACAAAAATTGTTAACACGTTGATACGCTAAACTCAGGGCATTGTGGACTTGTGGCCTTTTTTGCCTGCTGGGATGATTAATGAAGCTGGAAGAGACATGAAATGTGGTTTGAAAGCAGATGGAGGAATGGACAGATATATTGATCCACACAAATAAAACTGACAAATGATGGTTTAAGGTTCAAGGAGACTTTGTTGCCATAATGGATGGATGTAGGACAGAAGCACACTTTGGTTGTCCACATGACAAATTCCCTGAGGACCAGGAACACTGCTTGTCTGCTGTGACTTATTTATTTGTATTTGTAGTGTTTTATTATTTAACACTACTGAAATTGTATTTGCGTTTACTTGTTTGTTTCCTCCTTGTGTTATTTGATTGTTTAGCGTTGCTGTACACGTCTGGTGTGCTATGTTGTTACATGGACATCACAGGACAGTTACAGCACAATGGCAGCTCTTCCAGTGTGCAGACAATTTCATCTGTGTTGTTATCCTCTTACACAACCACCTCTATCCTTTATAAATGTCAGGAGTGTAAAATGGTGACGTCACAAAAATTACACAAAACAAATGTGTTTCTCCCAAATACGATTGCCAGGAAGTAATCCCCTAAAGAGTATCGGAAATTAAATGCTGTTTGTTTCATCCTCTGCTGCACACCGCTACATTTCCTATCAGATAACAATAACCCTGTGCTCTCTTGCAGTGCAGAGCAGAAATGTCATGGCTGTTTTGCATGTGGAGGGGAAATGCTAACGAGGCTGCCACTGAAGTAAAAAACAAAACAAAAAAAGCTGTGTTGCTTTCTAAATGAACCCACTGTGTCTTATAAAGCTTAGTGGTGCCTGTGAGCACAGGCTGGTCTTTGCCAGGTGACCTTCTCAGCATGTGCACAGTTGCTCCATGTTGGGCCAGTGCTACTACATTCAACCCTGTCATAAAATCAATACCCCATCTTCCGAAGGCTTCACCAATAAGTCATATTAGCTTTTTTATAAACCCAGTTCAGGGGCTGACTCTTGAAAGTGTTTTCCTTATGAAATACAGATGGACATCAAACTAAAGTGACCAGCAGCGACGTTTTGGTGCTGTGTCTCCAGAGCAACTTCAGCACTCCTCTGCTGGAGGAGAAACATCACTCTTCTAGAACAGATTCCCTGACTGTGCTCAATTCACTGATAGAAACCTAACCAGCAACAATCACCAGCATGTTCTGGTTCCACCTTCAGTATGGGACATGAGAATAACCTGAATATCTTTGGACATTCAAACATTTGAAGACACCACCTTTGACTCTAGAAAAACAGAAGGAGCACTTTTGCCAGTGTTTGACACTCTGTGCATAAAAACACCAGTCAGAGAACAATCGGCAGATTAATCAGTGACCCCTGCATTTTTTTTTTATTTCCACTCACTTATTCAGGCTTTTCTCTAATTTGTCACCTGTCTGTGTCTCTGCACGTTGTTTATGCAAGAGGAGACGTAGTGGTTGGAAATATGCACATCCTAAATACACAGTATGTAGCTGTCCCTCACTACATAAGCAGAACTGGTGTTCCTTGTTCTCTGCTGCATGCTGTCCTTGTTTCTTCCTCACACACTCGTCCCGACTGTGCCTGCAGATTGTTCTGTGGAGGCGAGCAGGTTTTAAACTGCTTTGTGTTTGTTATTGTTGGGAGAGCTATGAAGTGCTGCTCTGAATGTGCCTGTAATACACAGTGCACAGATGTGGCAAAAACTCAAAACAAGAATCAGCATGAGGATACACGCCTGACACACACACACGAACATACACTGACTGCTTAAATGTGAAGCCAAAGCATTTTTCTAGGTCACCATCTCACCAAGTGACTCGACATGCTTTCCTATCCCAGAAAGCTTTTGAAGTTTGCTCCAGTGACTGGATGGATGAATTACTTTCCCTTCTGACAACTGATGCTTTAAAAATTGCTTTATTTTTTGTCAAAATGATCTCAGCCCTAGGTTCAGGTACTCACTTGTTCTTGAGCTTTCAATCATATCCCATAGTCTTCATCAACAAATTGAGTTCACTCAGTCATGAAAATGAAAATGTTCAAACTTAACCTGAGATTCTCTCAGACCTCTGTCTTAAAATTTGAGCTCAACAGCAGTTGACAGTAGAAACAGTGTTCTGGAAAAACAATTTCAGCTCCAAGTCGCCGCCCGCTTCTTCATGGGATGCACTCATGAAGAGAGCAACACATTTATCTGGACTTTTACATAATGTACTACAGCCCCGACATGCTCTGAACGCCTGCTTCGTCATCATCCATGCATCTGGACTGACTTTTAACATGGCACCTAACACACACGCACGCACACAAAGCCATGGAGATGATGCCATGGAAATGATGCCATGGATACCCGAGAGAGCACTGGGTATGTCTCATGCCTAGACTGATGAATGTGAGTGTTTCAGATTAGATGTACAGGAGGAAGAGGGGGAGGGTGACTACTGTCTGCTCGATGGTGACCTCCTCCAGCTGCAGGGAGAAAGGATTAAAAGATTGTCTTACACAACCTTCCTGAGTCAAACCAGGTGGCGGCCAGAAAATCAAAACAAAGACAAATGGCTCCACTAAAGCATGGATGGGACCTGTCAGGCTGATTAAGATAATATATTTCAGCACCTGAATGTCAGTCTGGGATTGGCGAGTATATGGTAGGTAGAGCAGGTTTATTCTCTCTCTAGAATAAACTGAAAGGACCAGATACTGGAAACAGTATCCTGGCCACATTACCTTGTTGCCACTGCTGACACTGCATGAGCTGACATACTCGGACGAAGGCACTGTCACCTTGGATTAAGCATCGCTTGAACAATGCCTCTTTGCACGTCACTGAGTCTAAAGAAAGCTTTAGCGCACTGTGCAAAAAGCATTTTGTGCACTCATAGCCTCAGTGGTATGAATGATAGCAGCCATGCCACCCCTCCTCCTGCATGAGAGCATCTAATAATATAATGTTTGGTGCACAATAATAATTTGGATGAAACTGAGCAGAGACAGGAGTACCAGTAAAATTTCCAAGACTCTAAGGAGGTGTCTTCAAATGTTTTGTGGGACCAGCAGTAAAAGATATTCCATCTACAACTGAACAACAGGGGAAATCTAAAGGATAATGATATTTGAGAAGCTGGAGCCAGAGAATATTTGGCATTTTTCCATGATTTAACAATTTCAACCTGTGTTTGCCAGCCTTCATAGGGGGAAGCCTACAGAGAACTATCTCTGACTCTCTGACAGTTTCCCTCACGCCTTATGGAGCGTGACAACGTTTAGCTTTTTTCCCTTCACTGTTTTAGCTTTATGGTTCCATGTGTGAGCTTGGTTCATGGGTCACTCACAGATCTATAGTGTTGTGTTCAGCAGCAGAGAGAAACTGTTTTCAGTGTAAAAGCTCTAAAAAGATGCTGTCCACTACCTGCTCAGCAGCAAACAGCAGAGAGACACAGCTGGAAACCAGCTGGGGAACATACTGGAGCATTTTGCAGCTAAAGTGCCAGAGACTTCCCTGTTTAGCCACTTGACATCTCAACACCTTCCTCATCACTTATACAGGCAGCAGATGTGAAAGAGCATCAGCATTAATTTGAAGTTGTCTTGAATGTAAGTGCTCCCTCTTTTTTAGCTCTGTGTTTGGTCTCCACCACCTCCTGGAAGGAAACCTCTGGCTCTGGAGCCGCTAAATGCTCCACTTTGTTCCCCAGCTGGTCTCTGGATGGCTCTGTCTGCTGTCTGCTGCTGAGCAGGCTGTGGGCACTGGCTTTTTAGAGCTGAGGGATATGTTTGGTGAGACCAAAACAGAGATAAAATAGAGTGAATACTGGACTTAATTTGCCATGTGGGCAGAACGAGGTCCCACAATGAACCAGTAATGTCATTCCACATCATCTAGATGGGTAAATAAGTGATTTGCTAACAAGACAACATCAGCTGGTTCCAAATTCTCATTTTGTAACTAGAGATGACCAGGTCCCCGCTGTGGAACTCAGGCCTGGGAATCTCAGGCAGGAAAACTCTGCTGTCTTTTAAATCTCTTCTTTAAATTCATTTCTTTTAATTGATGTTATTTATTGTTGTTAATCTAGTTTGTATTGTCTTTATTGTGACTTTGTTTTAGAAAGGTGCTATATAATAATAATAATAGTTCTTATTATTAACTTACTGCTGCTGTATTGGATGTTGTGTATACAGCGTGTTTCCGCTCCCCCCAAATTGCCAAAAAGTGTGAATTAAATAAAAGAAAAGTCAGTAACAGAAGCAGTTTTCTTTTTCTTAATCTCTTTAATTACTCTTGTGACCAGTGAGATTTATTTCAGGACACCATAAAGGGTCCCCACCCCGGGTTGGAAACAATAATTTCTATTTCAACTCATACTCATGTAGATGATGATTGATTTTCTGTCAATTGATTAAACATCATACCAGCATTAAAATTTTATGTTTGTTTTTAAAGAGCAAGACTTTGGATCTTATTCACTTGGATTTTATATATAACTTTACTGACGCAGTGGGACCATCTGTCTGTTTTATCTCAGAGCCAAATCTGCTAACTCTGCACTCTGGCACTAATTCAACTGAAAATATGGGCACATATGTGAAGGGTTCCTTTTCCTGGATGCCTGATAAGCGATGCCCACAGATCCTCCCCGTTCAGTTTCGCACAGGGCTGTCCTTTAACTTTCTCACAGCAGTGACGTCTAGATTGCAGAGGGATTAAAGATTAAGGTCTGGAACAACGCGGAGTGGTTGCATAATTAACTCCACGATGGGGAATTGAGTTATTCCTCAGTCGCGCCGGATACTCCCGGCAAAGTGTCACATGGGCGGCACATTGATGAGACGGGTTGTGCCACCACAGCAGGACTCAGATGCTGGATGCGTCGCGGCGGGACATGACGGTGTAGCTCGGGATAACCTTCGGAATAAAGGGGGCAGCTGTGAAGGGTGCTGTAGTGTCCTTCGGGTAGTGCGCGTCTCTCCAAAGTAAACTGGGTTTCCAGTCCTGGAACACACACGGTGTGTGCTGAATATTTAAGTTCCGGGAAACCGAACCGAAGGGAAAGGACAGCGAATCACCTGCAGCTGGAATATGTCGGCTCACGGACTCCTTATGAAATTATCTTAATGGAACAGGACCTCTGATTTTATCTGGACAGCCCGTTTGGAGAACGACTTCTTTCCGACTACTCGCCTCTCTGTACGACAATATTAAACCGGGAACATTAAAACATTATTGCTGCGACTTTTCTTTGCACAATTAAACTCGGAGGATCTTGTCGGTGGAGTGTGCTCCGGTGCAGGGAGGCGGATCAAAAGATCTTATCAAGTCTAAGACATTTAATGAAATGTGAAAAACAAAGGTGTGGAAATGCGGCGCAAATGCTTCATTCTGCTCGAGGTAAGTCCTGCGCCCTTTGCGCTTTCACTTCATCTTCTTGCTTTAGACATTTCATTGAAAGAGCTGAATGAAAAACCAAACATCAGCGTCTTTCTCACGGACTGCAATTGAGTAGGCTATAATAATACTGCTAAGGGATTTATCTCCCCACCCAGATGTCAGTACTTATTCTCTCCAGCTCGTTATTCTGTTAGAATAAAGAAGGGAACGCTTTCAGCTGATAGGTGTGAACCAGGACAGTAAACCTGGACAGAGGAACGGGGAGTGAACCAGGACAGTAAACCTGGACAGAGGAACGGGGATCTCTCCCCACCTTCCTTCTGCACCGCCGAGCTCCGAGTCTTAAGAACAATCTGATTTATATTAGTTCAAATGAGCGCTGAAGCCGACGACAGCGTGTTTACTTGTAAACCCAAACGTGAAGGAGGACTTTGGGTTAAGATGGCATGAAAAAACATGGGGCTCAAATGCTGATGCATGAAAAGCCCGGATTTGGGACACTGGAGATTTAAACGTGTGTTTATGCGGCAAGTGCACTCCTCACTTCATGCTTGCAGGAATGAAAATATCATGTCTGTTGTGGCCTATGGAGGCAGAGGACATGCGGTTTGCTGCCTTCGGAAGAGACGCGCTGATGCTGTGACAGATGCCGGAGGTGAATCACACTGTGAGAAGAGCCGCTGCACTATAGTCAACAATGCCATGAACCCTTTTCTGAAAGCCCCCTGCTCCCTCACTGTTGTGACTGAAGACCAGGCAGCCTCCCCACCTCACAGCAACCCACATATCACATTCTAGCAGTGAAGTATCTTTAAGTAAATATACCACAGTGTAAAAACGCTCAGTTACAATTTAAGTCCTGCATTCAAAATGCTACCTAAGTAAAAGTACAGGACTGACATTATTTTTATTTAGCAGCAGGCAAATGGAGTCTAATTATCACTGCTTTATAGTTGTGAACCCCCCAAAGATCAATATTTCATCTTAACCCTATAATACATTATAATATAGTTATTGATTCTATTTTGCATTCTAAATCTGAGTCTGTGCAGGATGTGTATGAAATAAAAAGTATAATCTGAAATGTAGTGGGGCAACATATAAAGGAGGATTACAATAATATACTGAAATACTCAGTGAACACGTTTCAAAGTTGCACTTAATTACAGTACTTCAGTACTTAGTTTCTTTGCATTACTGCTATGAAATTCGACTTTATATGTTCATCATCTTTAGTTATATGCTATATATGTAACACAGTTATTCCTTATACAAAATTTGTGATCAGCTGTCAGGTCATTTTGGTCTCAATCGAGTCCTCGATGTTCTTGTGTTATGAAATCAACCACTGTGACTATTTCAACCTGCTTTTCATGCAAATCAACCTGTTTGAAGGGTTTTTTCCAATGTTCACCATGCTAATGCCGCAGCCTGCTTCACTCCCTTTGAGTGTCAGTGCGCTGCATAAACAATGCGCACACACCTCTGAAGAGCTTCAGTGTTCACACAGGAATGTTAACAACAAGAAAAGTCATACCAGGGCCCATGTGAAGATACTAGGTAACAAGTGATACTGATGACGGTGACACTGACCAGAATGAGCTGGGCTGAGTAAGATTGCATTTAGAATAATAAAGCACCAAAATATTCAGAGAGAGACTTTTTATTTTTAAATTTCAATTAAACAAAGATAGAATGTGCTTTTTAAAGACTTAAATACAGAAGTTATAAGACTGAGGCTGTTGCAGTTCCAACACATGGATGCATCAGTGATTATATTCCTACAACATTCAAGTATTTTTGTCACTTTAATAGTAATTCCTATGTATCTTTACTTAAGTCTGATTTTAAAGGCAGGACTTTTATTTGTACATTGTTGTGTATGATCTGAGAATGAGAAACAGCACTACAGCCTTGTGCTAATCGTGGCTGACCTTGTGGCTCTCAGTTGTTGTGCTTTCATTCTTTGGAAGGAGGTGCACAGCCTGTACAGTAGGTTACTGCTCCCTGGTACCTGCCCGGGATTCACTGGGCATGAAATAGACGCAGCAAGCCACGAAGAGCCCTCCTCTGAAATCTGGGGCGCTCTAGCATTTTACAGTATGTGATGTGACTATACTCTGCTGGTATTTCAGGCTGCTGTAACCGTTAGGTATGAATGTAATAAGACATTTTAATGACAAGAAAGCTTCATTTTCTGTCTGACAAATGTGAAATGTTTACAGCTTCAGGTGCTGCATTATTGATCAGCCTGTTTTATTTATGGGGGAAATGAAACATTGGCTTTATTGGTAACAGTAGCCACCTCAGGGAACACTGGACGCTCATGGACAGCTGTGCTGAGATGCAACCTAGTTTAGGGTCAGTTAGGGAGGCTGGTTTAGTCCAAACACAAACTAAACTGATGATGTCTTATGATCCTACGTGGTCTTTAAATGGCTCTGACAGATGCTGCCTGTGAGCCAGCGATGGATCAGTGTTTGCAGATGAACACAAAGCACAGTACACATTTTTGCTTTTTACTGTGCTATGAAACCTCTTGGTTTAGACTGTTACTCATCCAGGCCAAAAGAAATTCTTCTGAGATCAAAGCATGTGGGTGAAATTCCACTGTGGTCTTTAAACAAACCACAAGATTTTCACCCATTTCATCCAGGTGTGTGAACAAAGCAGATGATATTATATTTGTTATTGTGGTAGAAACAAATACATAGGTACTTAAAGATGCATTAACTAAGATTTTCCACAGTGTCTGATAAACCCAGTGACAGTGGGACAAGACGTGGTGTACCCCTTCTGTTGTTATTCCAGCTTCTCCACCCTGTGTTGTCAAAGTACGGTCTGTAAATTAGATGGATTCTCCATTAGAAGCAGCTGTAAACAGCAGCTGTAAACAGCAGCTGTGTTGAACGAGAGCTGCTTTGTCCACAGCTTGTATTTCCACAGTCTTCTTCCTTCCCTTTCTGGATGGTGAATACAGATACTGCCACCTGATGGAAGGGGGAGTTATTTCTGAAACCCAGGCGCAGAACTTGCACTACTCAGCCATTAGCTGTTGCCTGTGCGGTGTGTTCAAGTGCCAATTTTCAACCCACCTTGCCCAGACCAAGCCGACATGAGGCGACGCAACAGTCGACCTACATCACTGCTTTTCTTTCACGTCGGCTTGGTGTGTCTCTGTCCTAAAACTGACGCGTTTGTTTTGGTGACATTAGCAACCTAGCATGGTCATGATTTTACCATAGTGTTGAATTCATTTTAATTTGGGAGTAATTGGAGCTTTGTGTAAGCTTAGTGTTTGTGACACTTTAGCAGTTTACTGGACTGACACATGTACTGTTAGTCAGCTAACGCTAACTTTGCAGGTGTTTACACAGTTGCTAGGAAAAAGGACATGATGGGAGGGGCGAAGAGCAGTTAACATTTGAATTTCACTAGGCTGAAAATAAATTAGGTGGAGTAGCTTTAAGTCAGATGCAGATGCATACTCCTTTTGGAGAAGCCTACTTTAGCTTTATAGCCTAATTATTCAGTGTTTTATTTCATGTTACGTAGGCAGCCACACACCCCATGCACAAACGGACATTTTCTAAATTTAGCATTATAACTCTCTGAGATTACTACATTACAGTAGGCTCTTTCTTTATTGATTCCTTATGTAAACAAGAGGGAGTGCTGACAGAGAGAATGACTGCAGAGAGATTCTAATTAATAGCACTGCCTTAGGTGAGAGGAGTTGTTGATACATGCATTGTCTGCTCAAGGGCAACAAGAGTCTTTCAGTTTAATTCTGCTTCTTTACATAAGGAAAAGATTCACACAGGAGCACAGAGGGACGCTCTGTTAATATTTGATTCACTGATTAAGCCTGACCCCGTGACTTCTCTCTGTTTGCAGGTGTGTGCCATCATGAGCCTCTTGCCGTCAGCCTCTTTAGCTGATCTGACATGTGAAGCTCTGCTTATGCTGTCAGGGAATTTCTCATGTAAGTTGAAAACAAACATCAGCTGGATCTGTTCCTACAGCAGCACAACTACAGCAAATACCATAAGCTTCTAAAGGTTGTTCCGCTGCTCCTAACCTTCATATTGACTTTTAATCTTAGTCTTATATTTCAAAGACTGGAACCACTAAACACCAGGTCATTGTCCTCAATCACATGTTTCCTTGTAGACATCAGTATAGTAATATTTGGCTATTTAACACTATAAACTGCAGCACACACACAAGCTTACACAATTGATTTTCTTGTTATTTGCCTCTGGTAACGCTCATAAAGATGCCCCAGGGAAGTTTAAGCAGTAACAGCACTCTGTGTGTCAATATGCTGTCACACTGCTCTGTGATGATGAGGGCAGGCTTGTTTAAACAGTCACTGGGTTGTTTTCATCATCAATTATTTTTTTTGTGATAGGGTTACGCATTTCGTCTTTGAAATGTCTAACATTATTAACATGACTGTTTTTGGTCCATCTTTATGCAGCTGTTTCATCTTGGTAGGACTGATATGTGGATGTCCGTTGGTTCCTTGTGTGGCCACCTACTGGGTGTGTTTGTTCTTTACCATCACTGGGATGACTGGTCTCCTGTCATCAGGTGTAATTACCAAGCATAAGGGAGAACTGTGCATTGCAGGTTACACCCTGCAGAAGGCAGCTACATGTGGGCTGTAACCCACCTTTGAATATGGACTTTTAAATCCTCATCATAGAGCCATCTGAATACAGGCTTTTTATTCATTTCTAGAAGAGTGCCTTGGATTTTTCTTTTTTCCATTTGTGCATTTTTTGGTTCATTTTCCCACCTTCGACATATCTGAAGTGAAGTGAAAAGTCTGGTTAAAAACATCTGAAAGCATTCAAATGAAGCCTCATCTTTGCTCTGCAGAATGTCCTTATTACTGGGGCCTTTATCTAAATCTTCTTGAGTTATTACAAATATAATAGCCTGACCCTAGGGGCACATCGAGACTCATATTTCCTGCTTCTGTGCTGTTACTGCCTGGGGACTGGTGTTTACTGTTGCCCTTTAACACTCACTCTTTGTGGCTGTTAAGCTGAAACCAATGAGATTTTGAAAGCTATATCTAAACTGTGCAAACAAACATGAGGTTGTTGATGAAACTCTCCGTCTGGTTTGCAGTGCAGTCTCTGGCCTCCTCCTGGAACCAATCCCTGAGCAATGCCACGGGTCAGTGGAGCGGTGAGTTTCTTTTCTCACCTGTGTAAAACTGATTCTCTACACTGTTACTACAAAGCAGAGTCTATCTGGAATACCCCAGAAAAAAAAAGTTTGATCTGAACTCAGATGATAAGGACTAACATCAAAGACGAGAACAATGCTGGAAATAGACTTAGCGTTGTGCCACAAGAGAAGATGCTCAGTTCCGTTCGGCTCAGGAGTAATCATTAAACTTCATGTACACAAACAGATTGTTTAGCTACACAGCGTACTGCCAGGAACACTGGAGCACTGTGAGAATTTCACTGTGGCTATATGTGGTCCTGAGCCATGCCTGACATGTCTGTCCCCATGCTTTAGGCTCGGGAGTCTACTGCAACACATCCATTGATGGCATTGGCACCTGCTGGCCCAGGAGCAGCGCCGGCCAGATGGTGTCCCGACCCTGTCCAGAGATGTTCTACGGTGTCAGATACAACACCACCAGTAAGTCTACACTGTCACCTCCTCCCAGCAAAACCAGAAGCAATACAAACAAGTTTTAATTTGATTTCAACCCTCCCTCTTGTCTTCCCCTCGGGCAAATCCTGTTTACGTAATTGTGTGTACAGGAATTAGTATGAGCATTCAAATTAGTGAGACACACACAAAAGTGCAGTACAAAACACAAAAGTAGGACTGCTGCAAATATTACACCAAGGAATACAGAAAAAAGGAGCATGGTGTAGTAAAGACGAGACAAGTGGTGCTCCAGCTTTGTATCAGAACAAACTGTAGAAAGATGGGATAACATCACAAAGCTGCTGCTTAAGCCTGTTAAAATGATGGAAACACATCCACATGCTGCTGTGTATACTCAATTTTAGTAAAAAAAACCTCAACTCAAAACTACTTTTTGAAGCACAATCGGTGTCATAGACTCAAATAATATGATCTATTTTTATCTGCAGTGTCTGTAGAAATCAGATTTTTAGGCTGAAAGTGTTTCAGGCTTCTGCTCTGCTGTCAAACTCCTCTGCAGCATGGTTTCTTCTGGGCTCAAAGTCCAACTGATGGTGACCAGCTACAGGGAACAGTGTTGTCTTTTGAGAGAAAACCTGTTTCTAAAAATGTGAAATTCATATGTGGCAGGTTTTCTAGAAATGCTAGTGGCATGGTTGTGTTTGTCTGTCTGGTTCAGACTAACACAGCTGAACAACTACTGGATGGAATGGCAGGTCATTTGATGCAAACAATCCTCTTCCCCTCAGGATGAACTCTAGTCACTTTGTCGGTCCTCAGATTTTTCCTCTTCTGCCATCATCAGGTGAAAATTTGAATTTGTCTAATACTTTGGTTTATGACCAAATACCTGAAAAACTAATGAGATTCTCACCAGTCTGAGCTCTAGTGTGTGTTTTAAGCTAATTATCTCATCTTAGCCTGGTACAGTTACATGCTAAACTGACAGCGGGAACATGCTAACCTGCAGCAGAAAGTAGCTGTGAGCACAACAAATCATTAGTGTTTTTGTTTTTACAGTGAATGCAAACCTAACAAATACAGCAGCATTTCTCGTCAGTCATGTTTCTGTCCACTTAATAAATAGGAGTCCAGCATTCACTCTGATTTCCCTCTGTTCTTGATCTTCTGGGGGAAATATTTGTCTTGGTAAATGCTCCACTATGTCTATAATTACAAGATCTTGGCTACAGTTACATTGTGTCCTGTGATCTGATCAGGAATTTCAGCCGTACTGCTACTACAAATGTTTTTTTAATCACACTTTTCTGCATGTCAAAACAATTCCAGCTTGGATGGAGTTTTGCTACGTGACTTTGAATCCGTTAAGCACAAACAAAGTGAGTTTGAGTCAGTCACTATGTATATACACATTATATATGCAGTTGTTGGAGCTGATGATTCTTGCCCAGCTTTGCTTATTAGTAAATTATCTGAATAGTTGCATATTAATTTCCTGACAGTTTACAAATGGATTAATTAATTTTTTAATGCATTTAGCTCGAAAAGGAAAGGCCACAAAATAAGAATGAAACACAAGACAAATTCACAAATATAATGGCTAATAAGAAGATATAAATGACTGCATATCTGATTAAAAACCTAAAAAGAAATCAGACCAGTCTATTATTACTGAGCACAGACTTAATGAGACTCACCAGGTTTTAATATACTCAGTTTTTTCAGGTGGCTTTACTGGTGTAGAGTCTGAGCACAGGACTAAAAAGTAAATGCAGTTATTGTCCTTTCAGGTAGTTTTCACTGTAATTCATCAGATTTATGGTTAACGCATGCTTTCATTTAGACAATGAATGGGTCTTATAAGTAATAATCACAGCTTTTTCCATATGGATATGGTAAACATAGCTACAAAAAACAACTTAAAAAATCATCAACAAACATCTTCTTGGCAGTGATTCCTATCAGACATCTGTGATACATGTCTATCTAGGCCACTGGAGCACTGAAGGTAATACAAACATTACCAAGGGACAGCAAATTAAGCACATTTAGGAGATAAAAGCAAATGTGTTTGTTGGTAAGTGAAAGTCTAAATCACCCACAGGACCCTGTGGATTCACTTGAGAGAGGGAGAGTGAGTGAAACTCATCCGCAGCTCACCAGTAACTTGACACGGCGAGGTTCATTTCACCTTCAGGATTTACATAATCTCTATTGAAGCAGAGCCTAAAAGCCTAAAAAAGACCGTCAGCTGACAGTGAAGGTCAGTAGTGGTGGAAGGTTCAGGGCACAGGGAGATGACAGGTTTACTCCTTAAAGATTTAAGGTTGTTCATTATGGGGGATTGACTTGCTTTGTTAAATTCCTCTGTGATGTTATTCCTGATTTGGGAGCCATAGCTGACAAATGAAACTTGGCTTTATGATGTATTTTTAGCATGAATTTATTATTAATCATTGTAAATATTTGATATTTTTCAGCAGGGAGGTCAGAAAAGGCAAAGGAACATTTAATGAAACACCAGCGCCGCTTTCTGTCATTTCATTAGCTACACGGTTTATTAAGTGGTTTTTCTGTAGAAAGCGCTGTTTGCTTCAGAGAACACTGTGACCTAACAGGCTCTTGTTAGGCATCAATTTAGGATAAGCTAATTCTCCATTTTCATTCAAGGTCTTATTTTCATCACTCTGAGCTGAAAGTAGCAGGTTATTATCGAGGAAACCTGAGGTGAACACAAGGCTGGGGGAGTTTTCTTTCATGTTTGATGTTATTCTGACCTAAATATCACAACAAATATTGAATGAGCTGCCATGAAATTTTTTTGGGTAGCCATGTAAATGTACACAAGTTACTGATCCCCTGATATTTCATGCAGCCCTATCATCAGGTCAGAAATTTAATTGAAACACCTGTAAAACCAAACAATATTCCCATCAGCCTCACTTGTGTGTCATGCTCATTGCTAATTAGCAAATGTTAGCATGCTAACATGCTAAACTATGAATTATCCCAGCTAAACATGTTAGCATTGCCACCATTAGCATGTAGGTCAGAGAACCACTGAGCCTACCTTCAGCCTCACACAGCTGCTTACATGACTCTGGACTCTTAGTGAAGCAGAATCATTGCTAAGATGAGCAGAAATGAACAAAAGCATCATTTAAACGAGTTAATGACTAAATTTTATTTAAAAATTCAGTTATTAATTATCTTTTAACTCTTAAATGTATACATTTTTTAAAACTTGCCTACCTTTAGCAACCCTATAGACTAAAGGAAAGCATTAAAAAACAATGCTTTTTATTATTTTAACTCTGCAGTACTATAAGAGATAAACAGCTTGAGGATTACAAAAATGAATCAGTTACACAGGGTGTAATATAAATGATTTGTAATCATGTAGCTTGGTGCTCATTAAGCAGTTGCCTGAAAACATTGCTATTTAGTGTGCAGCGCCTTGATACCAAGAAAAACACACATTTTATGATACCACAAAAGTTAATAATGCTCTCAGTCTGGTCAGCCCCCATTAAAATAGCTTGGTCCACCCGCGGATGGATTCCAGACTCAGGCCCAGGGCCAGTTAAGTGACCACAGAGAGACAAACCAACCACAAAGAGATGAAAATGACAGAACGGTTAGAGAGAGATGCAAAACCAACCACAAAGACATGCAAACCAACAAAAAATGAACAAAATGAACACAGACTCAAATCAATGACAGATTCAAAATGACTGAACAAAAAGAGACACCAAACACAGATGCTAATGACAGGAAGATGAAATTAATGAACAACACACAAAACAGCCACATGGAAACATTAACAAAATGACTGCATGTGTGTAGTCATGTCTGTGCCCAGGGGCTCGTTGTCTCCTAATTCATCCATGGTTTCATCCCAGCTGAACATAATGAGAGATTACTACAGCTTTTAATATTTCTCCTGTGATGATGTCTGCTTCACTGCTAGTTTCAACACATTCCAGCAACAAAATGAAGCAACTCATTTTAACCACAAGCACGTTACAGTAGATATTATCACTTGGTATTTTTTCACACTTTTCCAGCTTTTGCAGTTGAGAACAGGGCCACTGATGAACATTTGGGTGCCCTAAGCAAAAAAAAGAAAAGCCTCGTGGTGCCTCCCAACCACTAACACCCCCCAACCAATTATTACTGTTGTTGTTGGTGTTATTAAAATTATGACAAGTCACACAAAACAGAAGCAAAACATATACTGTCCTATAAGTACTAGGTCATACTGTGTACCGGACCAGCTGGACTAAACCTTTTTTCTGCATCTCTCTGGTGCAAAATAGTCTATGGGTCAGTTTGTACTGAGTACAGTGTGCTACTTTTTCTGTGCATGAGAACATTTGCTATTTATTGTGATTATGTGCCACTGACTCCAGGTGAAACGAGATTTCTGAGGAGGGGGAGCGCCCACTAGGGTTGAGGAGTTGGGTGTAAGTGGGGTCGGCTCAGTAGTTCTAAGGAAACTGAAGACACTGCAAAGTTGATTATTCAGAGTAACAGTGGGGAGAGAGATACTGCAGTCTTCAAATTTTTTTTTTGTTTCCAAATAATCCTTTAACCAAATATAGAAATACTACCAGTAAATTTGTGTGCGTGTGTGTGTGTTTACTAACTGTTATTTTAATGTTTATTTAAGCGGCAGTGTTCCTTGCTTGCAGCAAAGCTAAAGCGGATGCACATTTTCTTGTATTTGTAGTAGAAACACTGTAATAATCTACCTGGCACACAAGAGCAAATATTTGATTCTCCAGAGGAAATGATATTTGAACTTTTGCTGAAAATGAAAGAGATGCTGCAGCTTTAATGCTGCTGGACTCATCCTGAGCACAGCTGCTTGTCCCCAGTGATTTCACTGTAGAAACTGAATCTGTAACAGCCCACTTGTTCACTGTGCAAAATCACTATGTCACGTCAAAAGATTTAAATAATTAAGGATGTTACCATGCTCATGCTACATGTGTAAAGTGCTCACAGACCTGAATGTGGAG